TATGATTTATCTGAATGGTTAATGAAATGTTCTTTATTTTGTGTTGAAAGGTTTTTTACCTGCTGCTACCTACCTATCTAAATAAAGTTGAGTGAAATTCAAAGTCTGGTCTTTTTCAAGTGTGGGCACCTCACAGTCAGAGGACACTTGACAGACATATAATATGTGTATTTGTTTTCTGGGCTCTCTCTGGATTCCTCTGCGGCTGATATGTTGCTCTCAGATTCACTGTTTGATGCTGAGCTTGTGGTGATACTCTAAGACAGTACTGTACTCTGGCTGTTTCAGAGTTTTCACTGTCACTGCTTTCAGGCGTCTCCATCCAGTCACGTCTCCCAACACGATGACTTCTTTTCTTTTGGTTCCCTCTACGTGGAAGTGGTCCCCCAGTGGTCAACAGGTAGGTCTTGCACGAGGTGTAGGAGATTTCTATGAAGTAAACACATTACGTCTCTGAACACATTTTGTAAATGGGACTGTCACTCACTTGTTGTTTGACGACATACACAGTTTGCTCCCAGTAAGGTCTCAATTTTCCACTCATGTTACAGACTAGGACACTGTCTCACCAGGTTGGAGAGTGACTGTGTTCTGTGTGTGATGATCATAGTTCTTCTTACCCCTTGCACTAGAGTGCTGGCTGTTCTCAGCTGCAGTACGATAAGCCTCTTCCATCCACAAAGCCCACTTTTTTGCATAGCTCTGAGGTGTTTCAGTCCCATCTCTGGCTAACAGGCCAAAAATTAAGTCTACTAGGAGATGGGGGTGTCGACCAAACATGAGGTAGTGGGATGAAAAGCCTGTTGCCTCATGTCTGGTGCAGTTGTATGCATGTACTATCTGAGGCAGATGCTCTTTCCAGCTGCTCTTTGCCTGCAGATGCTCTTAAGAGTGGCTTCTCCTTATGCACTAGGAAACGATATTGTGCTGGCAGCACAAGCTGCCTTCGCTGAGCTGCTGTACGATGTTGCAGCGGATTTTCCATATGAAGCTTTCCCCACTCGTGCATAAGCTTTCTCACAGGGCCACTGGCTCTCCTTCTGCCATCATTAGTTATTACTGATTTTGTTTCTTTCAGTTTGATAAGTACTGATAGAGGGATCCTTCCTTTGGGATTTTACCAGGTCACTGTGACAGGCTGCAATGGTGACATGTTCACAAGGCAGCGACATATGCAGCATCTTGTCTCTTTGCAGACTCACAACCCTCCCATGTAGCCTGAATGGCCTCTCTTGTCAGCTCTTCAGTACACTTTGTGAAGTAGGTGTCAATGTCAAGTGGAAACCGAGAGAATGAGTCTCAGTTCACCTTCCCCAGCATGACATTTGACATCAAACCTGAAATCTGCCAGCTCACCTACCCAGGAGTGACCTACTGCATTCGCCTTTGCAGTACTCATCACTTATGTGAGGGGATTATTGTCTGTATAGACCAGGGGTCGCATGTGGCTCTTTCATCCTTATACTGCAGCTCCGCGTAGCTTGGGACAATAAATGATAAGTATTTAATTGAAGTGTATTTTACTTTTTTAAATTGTAGTTCTAAACTGGAAGATTATTGTGATCTTGAAATATTAAAATAAAGTTATATTGAAGTTATATATCAAAATATGCGTCACATAACGTGGAAGCCGGTGTACCTGCCAAAACGCTGTGCATTTATCGAGACTTTCAACCCCGGGTAGGCCAAGTATGGAGAAATGTAAGAAAAGAAAAATATCTGAAGAAAATAGAACATTTAATGATGCCTGGGCAGATTCATTTGCATTTACGTCTGACAAGAGTGGCCTACCAGTATACCTAATTTGTGGAGAGAGACTGGCTAACAATAAAAGGTCAAATGTCAAAATTCAATTCAATTCAATTTTATTTATATAGCGCCAAATCACAACAAAAGTCGCCTCAAGGCGCTTCATAGATACAGAGAAAAACCAACAATCATATGACCCCCTATGAGCAAGCACTTTGGCGACAGTGGGAAGGAAAAACTCCCTTTTAACAGGAAGAAACCTCCG